GATCAGACACCAGTGCCTTAAACAGGGTTACAGCATATGGTCTTGGGAATAATGTAATGGATTACAGTGCACACAGTGGGGTGGTGACTGGCCAGAAATTCTGTATTATTCATACAGCATCATGCCGACTAACCCATGAATGTGTGTGTGTGTGCATGCATGTACTCAGTAAGTTGTGCACAAATAAGCTGAATCCCTGCCACTGCTGAGTGCTCTTAAAGGATCGTGGTGTGCAGTCATGCCTCATTAGAGAGCTGGATGGTACAGTGGGTTAGACTGGTCCATTAGCAGCTGATCAGACCTGTTTGGAGTCCAAGCTGGCCATCAGCAGCTGTGAGAGGGAGTGCTGGAACAGCAGCGCTGATGGACAGCCTGAACATGACAAAACAAAGTAGGAACATATGCTTCTTGGCTCTGAGGTACTGAATATAATGACATTAACCATTATAGATTAGCATTATGCTTACCTTGAATATTTAAAGGGTAGAAAATACGCTTTTTACAAGGATCTTAGGTTTGCAATATTTTGGATTGGAAACAATCCTCCAATATTCATGATCTAACCTACTAAATGTCACATTTCTTTCCTTAAATAGATCAACGTTTGATTAAGATACAATATCAAACTTTACATAAAAGATTAGTGCACTTCAGATCATACGTCATTATCTACTTCCTAGCAATTATGTGCTATAATAATATGCATAGGATACACAAGAAGCAGCATTGCAGTCCAGTTACTTTTAATCTGTACATCAAAGCCATTAAAGCAGGACCATTCCTTAATCTGACTAAGAATCTTTCCTTGAGGGGGGAAATAATGCTCACTATATTAGCTACCATGAGTGCCAGCAACAGTAATCGATAACTTTATGAAGAAGTCAGTCTGAGAGGTTTAATTGTTTCTAACTATTACCTATTTTAGAGTCACACAGTTCTTCTGAGCCCACGTTTGCATCTCTTATGAATTTTTGTTTTAGCGTGTACTGTGGGAAGTGATTCAATTTGCCACTAAGCATGCCAGAGGAAGGAAGAAAATGATTTCCACCATCTTTTTTAGTGAACTCATAAAAATCCAATATATCAAAGCTGTGCCCTGGCAGTAGGTGTTAAACAGACACCTGTTTTCATTTAGATTGCCCTTCTTCCATCTTTTCCTCTTGTCATTTCCATTATTCCTGCGAGCCCTGGGAAAAAAAGGGGGAACCAACCTGTAAGGCTGAAATTAGAAGTAAGACTGGACTGATGCCTCTGGTGTGTATGGTGCATGTCTAACACACTGCAGGAGGGCTGCAGAATTCAGAGGAATATTGCTGGATTCATAATTTATATTCCATTGGTTCTGTTCATCTCAGCATTCCAAGGAGCAGGCTCTTCCTCTCCATGTCTCTCTCCCTTTCTCTCTCTAGCAGATGTCAGGCCAGGGATTACATTCCAGATGGCTGCTCCTAAACGTCAGCGTTAATCATGGTCAACATGGTCAACACCTCCTCTCACTAAGGGTAATGATGGCAACCTACTTTCCCTGCTACTGTTTGATCCCTCCTTCAGCCTGGTCTTCACTCTTACTCCAATACTTCAATATTCCAATACTCTCTCTCTCTCTCTCTCTCTCTCTCTCTCTGTCTGATTCTGAAACACAACATTAACTTGAGCTTCTGCGGAACTTAATCTGGCATTTTAAGAGATTAGCAACAAGCCTCTTTAGAAATCAACAAATGTTTGCATTTCTTAACAGACCTTGATGGCCTACACATCATGAAGTCAAGGCTTCTTGCACAAACATGTTCAGGGCTAAACTGGCTCTAGTGCCAACAGTCTGCCATCTCAACGGGGCATTAAGTAAATAGACTAAATTAATGTTTTACATCCTCACACTCATGCCTACAGCACTAGCAATAACCACATTGTTTTTCGTATGCTATTTTGTGTCCCAGCTGTGTGTTAAATTGACATTTGGGACTATATTTTGCACTTTGGTATTCAGACCTCAGACGTAAATATGGACTTAAGCATTACTCAGGCCATTAGAGTGGGGTGAAGCTTGACGAAAACAGACGTGTGACTCAGTTACATGTGATTTTGTCCCTGATATTATGGCAGTGGGTTTTTTTCTTTTTCTTTGCATAATCTCAGCTCCACTGAGGAGCAATATTAGGTCCAGTTCAATATTATTAAATAATTACTGCTCATACTTGCCTTTTATACATCTATGTTTTAGTCTTTTTTAAATTGCCTCTTGCTTTTTTTCTACCTAATACTGAAGTTGACAGCATAAGAACATGATCTGCTCCTTCAGTCCACACTTGTCTGGCTTAAATGCAAGTGTTTGTGTTTAAAGACAATGATCTAAACAATTTTCTTGGACACCTCTACTCAAGAAAAATCTGGCAACCTTGGAGGCATAAGCAACATGCAGGTAACATCCTGAATAGTATGACTCTGAATATGGCAAACCTTCCCTGTGTTTAAAAATTGATGCAACTTTTGAACCAACTTAGTTTGGTCCTTAAGTCGCCAACTTAGTCTGGTCCTTAGTGAATGAAAAAAGCATCACAATGTCTATGTGAATTGCTCATTGAATAAACAAAATCACATTACAAACAGAGACAGAAAGAAAGGACGAGGTATAACCTGAATTCTTAATTGCCACTTTAACTGTCCAGACAATATCATTACACTCACCAAGGAGAGATAACACAGACTGATGTGATATTTCTTATATTATTCCACATCTCTTCATATTATTTTGTAATATGACCCTTTCAGCGTAATTAGATTTTGTTTTTTTTAATGTTATTTAATTTTCATATCTTCATAGTCTAGTAAATCTACAAGGTGACCTTACTTCTACCCAGACTGAAACAGGAGCACAAATATGAAATCTACATTTGCATTTGTTTCGACGTTTACAAACAAGTGATATTCATTTCAAACGAATGGTTCAGTGGTGCATGCCTTATTTAAATTGAGGTGCAGAGGATACAAGATAACTCTTGTTTTGTTTTTTTTAGGAATAATTATGTAGCTCGCTGGTTTTCTTCTCATCTTTCCAGTATATGAAATTAAATACCAAACATGTGATTATAATGTCAGAGCTCCTTGTCTGAATGAGTTCATTAGCTTTACTATGACACCTAACAAATCACAGTCTGATTGTAAAATCCATATTAATTCTATAGGTTTAACTCCAACCTAGACCATTCTGTAACTCCTGTGTGTCTGGAGAGTTTAAACTGACAATTCATGCACTTGTCTAGTTACACGTTCTGCTAGAATGTTCTAAAGGCTGAAAATATGTGTTCAGGTGAACAGTAATGGCATATTAAGGCTATAATTCATTTGGTTGGAATGATACTTTCAGTATGTATATGACTCAGAATAAGAAATAGACACACACATCTATATTTGCTGAGGGCAGAGGTGCTTGACTTGGGAAACTGAAATTGAGTGCATGAGAGCATCTATTAGAGGAGGAAATGTTCCCTTGGTGAGAAACCCAAAAATCAGCAAAAAATAATAGCCTCCATTATTGGCAGTAGAAGGAGTTTAAAGAAGTCCATAATCCATAAAGCAAATATTGAACGTGGTCTAGCTAAACAGATGTTTTGCATCATGTTTGCCATGACGCAAGACAAGCACTTATGGGAAAACAAGCCAAATGACATCTCAAGGAACAATTTTAACAAAGCAATTATGCCGTATATAATATATTCCACTCTGTATACTTCAAAATCTGTTTCTTTCCATTTTGCATCTGTGCTGCAGTGCTAATATGCACCAGCTCACTGGTCCTGGAACAATATTACTCATTGTCTTTAGAGATAATATCTGCTGCTTTATTCTTTAACAGAGACACAGTTTTCCTCCATGAAACTAGAGATACAATACGCTTACTATACAATACGCGTTGTCCCATTTTACCAATATTGACCATTTCATTCCTTCCATCATCAAAATAGTTTGTCTTGCTGCATTGCTTGCTTGGTCCTGTTGTAAGTAGTTCAGTTATTATTTACCATCTTTGTTGGTGGAATATTTAGAAAATATTTAGCTCCGGTAAGAGTGTTTTCTGACTGATTATTCTGGTAGGCTCTGTGACAATAAAGTCTATCTCCAACTTACATACAAGTATCAGTGTCTAATAGAAGAAGAATAAATCAAACTAGTCACTAATAGTGGTGTAGTGGGATATAGCCTTTGCTTCATCTCTACCTAAAGCAAGAGATGTAGCAGTGCTTTAGTCATTTAGTCTGTCAAGTTCTTTCACCTCCTTAGCTGTACACTCTTAAATATATACACGACTGTATATGGCCAAAAGTCTGTGGACATCTGACCATCACACCCATATGTGGGCTTTTGCTAAACTGTTGCTACAGAGATGGAAGCATGTCTTTGTATGCTGCAGCATTACAATTTCCCTTCACTCGAACTAACAGAAATTACCTCAACACTTGTCTTCAACCCAGTTCACCTTCGGATGACACATTTGGGTAGTACATATTGGTGTGATGGTCAGGTGTCCACATACTTTTGGCAATATTTGGTACATTTCCAAAGCTTAAATTTCTTGCTGATACCGCTATCTGTGCTATCATACTTGTCATCTTGTAGATCGCCAAGTCGATCTGCTTTCTCAGATCTACTGTGTTGGATGGCTGCATTGCATCTTGGATCTTTGAGTCCACCGTTTGCTGTCTCTGGTGCTTCTACATTGGATTTCTCATTAATATGACAATGAACATCTCTGGAAAATGTTGAGTGAGAAAATAAAATTGTACTCAGTTGATTTTTGGACCCAACAGCGAAACTCAACAGCTCACATATGTTTGAATTTGCAGATTATTTCCTGTAATTTATCAGCATTGTAACAGGCCTCACAATGTCCCAATGTGGCACTCACCCAATGACTCTACAGAAACGAAAGTACAGCACCAACCAACAAATTAGCGCCAGAATGAATTTAGCACCAGAATGAATTCAGTGGTGGCCTTTTCGGTTTCCTGGTGGACTAGTGGCTAGCATGCGATGCCCTCACTGCCATGGCCTGGGTTTGATTCCCAGTCAGGGAACGGGAACAGCCAAAAGAGGAACAAGAAATTAATTAATGGTGAACTTTTCCTTTAAAGTGCCTGTTGTTAACATTTTAATTGGTCATTCTAAAGCAAATTACTAACCATAACCCTTTTTACTGGTCTGGTTTCATATTTAAATTCTAGATATTGAAAATCACTGTACTGAGCATGCCTTATAAAACAAACAATGGACTGCCATGTTGTCGCTGCTATAATGCCATCACTATGAAGGTGTCGAACTCTAATTTCAATTTAATCGTATCTGTTCTGGTAAGCCTGACCTCTGCGCTTCAGGTTTCAGTCCCTCCAGCCGACATTAGTCTGCTATTTATGACTTCATTAGTCTTGACATTATGCCCTATTCGCTTATGCCGCATCACGCTGAGACCGCAGGCCTAATTAGCAGAGTTCAAATGGCAGAGGTTCATGAGACCACGTGAGAGGCTAGGGAATTAGTTTTATGAGTAGAAAAAATGAACACAGTGCACCATATATAATTACTGTTAACTGTAAATAAAAAATCTATTAGTTAACATCAATATGTCCCAATGAGGCATGGTACACATTGACAAAAGTGCCATATTGTGTCTAATACAAAATCTCAAGAGGGGGTGAAGCAGCCATCTGGAATGTGAAATTCTTCTTCCATTTCTTATTTCAAAATGTTCCATGGATAATTGTCACTACTGTGGAAATTGTGTGAGCTTTAAACTTTTCAAACATCCAGGTGTTTTCAATAAAGGCTTCTGCATTCACTGTAAACAGTATTCTCTAGGGTATGCAAATTATTCTTACAGTCCTAGAGATTTCTGGATGGAAGATATTGTTTTTCACTCTACAATTGCATATTTCAATGTGTAATCTTCACAGTGGGGATCTGCTCTGTATATAACAGCAATTCAATCTAATGTAGGCTTTCATCATTCAATGGCACATCAACTACACATTTCTATTCTCAGATGATAAGGAATTTTAGGACTTATTTTATACTGTCTAATTTTATTTTATTTTCCAACAGCACATAATATTATATCAATTCCTAAATTGGGGAAAAAACATCTCAAATCAAATCAACAAAGCAGGACAAGAAAGAAAAAAAAACATTCATTTCCATTGTTCTTCACACCCACCGTACAAGCCCACAGAGCCAAGAAAAGCAACAAAATTGGCAACAATCCCATAAAATCTGAATTAATTATTTAGCAACTATTGTGAAACTAATAGGAAATGTATGTAATTATGACTGGGTAATGTCATAAATTAGGAAAGTCTAATTTATTGTTTAAAGGTTGCTGATTGAGACCATTTTGTAAGTAAGTTTGTGCAGTTAAATTAAAATAATCCAAATAAGGTGACGTGAAACAGATTACGTTGGATAATTTTTTTGTATCCGCATTTTCAGGAGTGTTATTCCTCTTATAATACAGCGATTTTGCCAGTGATTACAATGTTGGATTTATTAATGAATGAGACACTTTAATGTTTCATAGTTAAGATTTATTTTTGTGGACTGTAGTTACGTCCTAAATTATTTCCTGGTATCACTTATGTTATAGCCACAATAAACAGGCATCACGATAAACACAGCTTATACTTTTAGTGTGAAAGGACTTTCCTGTTGTGGAAAACTGTGCAAAGCACCATGCCTGTTACAAAAAGACTCGGGATTCATTCCATAAATGTCAAATAAATATCTTCTAACAACAACAGAAAAGCCTTCACCACATCAATGTTGTTTATTAAATTGTTCTTTGTTAAACAACAAGAATATATTTATTTATTATATTAGGTTTAGATTATGTGGAGTACCTGTGTTTGAGCTGTTACTTCAGCATAATAGAACTTAATGTATTAGCACATTAATATGAGCCTATCATTCATGTTACAGCTGGGTGGTCATACAAAAATAATGCCCACTTTCTGACCAATCTGACTGGGATAAAATAACGGCATTTAATTAAAAGAACGTGGAAAAACCTCCTTTACTCCAGGTTTGACTGCTGCATATACTACAGCATGAGTTTAGGACGCAGTGTCTCTTATTTAGACTTGGACAGTAATAGTTTACTATCTCCTTTTAAACACCATCTGGCAGAAAGCTGCTGAATCATAGCTGAGGTGTGCTGAATTATTACAACCTGTAACATGACCCATTTTAAAGTCTTTAGTCTCACAAGTGAAACACTTGTTACAGACCACCAGCATCCACCAGATTGTTCTGTGTACAAGTGAGATACGATTAGCAAGAGATTTCAGTCAGGGAAATATTATTTTACATAGCATAGCTTTATCAATGTCCTGTAAGATTCCTTATTAGACTGTATGTTATATAGTTCATTAGCCGGTTCACAACTCCGCCTCTCTGTGTTGAACTCTCTCTTGAAATGAGTTGTCAAATTGGCCCACTTTAAAGCATTTTGCACTGTAAATTGCTCAAAGAGGAAAAGTGCGGTTGCTTTTATAAAATCTATTACTGTAGCTTTCTGATAAGTGATGGAGCCAACTGAATTGGTCAAATTATAAAAATCATTTAAAGTGATGCATTTTACACATTAAACATTCTGTTTCTTCATTCAAGTTATTATAAAGCAAGGTTTCATTTTGAAAATATAATGTAGTCTAAACAAAGTCAAAACAATAAAATATATTCGGGTAAAGGCAAAAACCCATGATTCGGACAGTGCAGCTGCATTTGATTACGCCTCCATCCATTAGAGTTTTAGCATCTCTACTATAATGTGCTGTGCTTAGCTCTATGGCTGAACGCAATAGCTCTTTCTTGTTAACAAAAGAATGGTTAACAGGGGACAAACATTCTCTGGCAGACACTTAACAGACAGAGAAGATTCCAACAGCCCTTTTACACCTTACGTGATCAAGCTGTGCTTTATTGGTAATAGCAGACCAGCTGCGTAAATGCCACTTGTAAAGTAGGCATTAACAGGATTGTCACCAGGTGCCTACTAGCCACAGGAGCAGCCATTGTATAAATCTTGTCTGCTGGGCTAAATAGAAAGGAGAGCATGGCCTGAAGAAATGCCTGCCAATGCCAGCTCAATAAGGGAAACGTATAATATGGCCCCGGACACAGCAATCAATAGAGTGTCTCTGTAGGGGGGGATACAGTGTTCCTGCAGAGCCATGGATTAGATCAGGCAGTGTAACCAGAGCTGGGTAGCGCTGATGTTAAACCAGGCTGGTGAGTCACGTCCTCCGTCATTTAGCCTTTAACTATCAATGTCAATCACTATTCCCATCCACTCTTAGTCCTCTTCTCTGTGCTCCGACACATAGACCTCAATTTCAGACTCTCAACTATAGGCAGAGTGATGTAAAGAATATGAAGTAAAGGATACATCTGCTTTCAAAAAACATCTACGCAGTGCAGGTGGCCCTCCTAACTAATCTATTTATGATTTCAACAGTAGTATGATTTCAAGAGTTTGGAGAGTACTGCTACAATCCCCAATAACCCTCAATAAAGCCTGCTTCGTTTGAACATGATTGCATCCCTGCAGTTATTGAGCTTTTTGTTTAAAAAAAAAAATCTGAGAACTGTTTCTGAATTTGACTTTTCCGGTTCCTGGCCAGGTCTTACTGAAATTTTTATTTACCCGCAGAACATTACAGTCCGCTTAAAACAAAAGAATGTAAGATATTTGGATTTGGCCCTCTCAGGTAGGGCTACTATTGCATAGTACAAAACCAATTTGTAACATAGTTTGTGCTGCCTCCTTCTACACTGTGAGGATTAAACTTAGAGGCAAGTAATATGTACATATTCCATGACAATTTGAGAATGTGTCCCAATCCACATTTTATACACTAAATAGGATGCCAAAATAATATAGACAGCGTTTGGTATAATACATAATATGGCAATTTGTGGTTTGGGGCACAACTGCTTTCTGCTTTTTTTTATTGTGCACAGCACGTTTGAACTAGACTATGTGGTTGCCTCACAGCTCCAGGGTCCTCAATCCTGATCCACAGTTTAATCTTGAGCCCAGGTCTGTGAAGTGTTTCGCATGTTCTCCTTGTCTCCATGGTTTTCCTCTGGATTCTATGATTTCCTCCCACTTCACAAAACATTCGGCTACATAGATTAGCTACTGTATAGTAAATTGCCTTCTAGGTGTGAATGTGTGTGTGTGTGTGTGTGTGTGTGTGTGCATGGTGTTCTAAATAGACTATATTCCAGTGTTCCCAGGAGAGCAAAATTTTTCTCCTCGCTAACATTGGCTGTATTGAGCTACTGTATCTAGTGTGCCTTTGATTGAGTTCTTTCAGGCATGGTGATAGCATGACGTAGCATGTATGTAAGCTGGTGTACGATTTGTGCAATCAAAATTTACTGTCAATTTCAAACCCAAGAGCTGTGACTGTGAATTAGTGTGAATAACTATTACAGGATTCTCATGGTGACTCATGGCAGCACACGAACATCATATTTTATAGTATAAAATAATTTTTGAGTTTAGAATATTTCTCCCCTGACTCAATAATGCTTTTTTCATTTTTACTCAAAATTCCTATGCACTGTAGCTTTGACTTACAACTAAGAGTTACTCTTTTAGTGCACACACCTCTCAGTAACAAAAACCACTGCACTTAGAGACACACACAGAGAGAGATAAAAGACATGGCTTTGTTTGCAATCAGAGAAGATGAAATAGGAATTAAATGAAGGTGGAAAAAAAAGACTGATGCTGTTACAGTGTTAAGTGGGGTTGCATAGAGGAAAACAAAATAAGAGGTGGAAATACTAAGAGAGAGCTACAGAAGAGCAAAGCAAGAGAGTGCAGAAGTGTCAAAACATTCTCTCAACCTTGGCTGTCTCAGTCCTGTCGCTGTGGGTTAATATAAGCAGCACACAATGTTTTAAATAATATACCAGACTTACGGATAAAACGGATAAACATATAAAAGATTCAGCAACCATGGAATCCTGTCATAAGAGAGATCCACACAGAGAGCGAAAGAGAGAGGGGGGTGGG